AGAGCTCAAGTGACTAAAGTGTTATGGCATAGCATCTTTGGAGGTCCACAGGTGGATGAGATATAAAGTCAACCCCTTGCATGATTATTCAGATTCCCATTGCTACAGTTTAATTAAGACTCTTTGAACAGTTTATCTGACCTGGGCTTTGACAAAATAAAGATGTGAAGCAGGAATCATCTTTTCTATTTCTGATCCATGGTTTTCTTTTATGATGAAAGTTAAGAAAAACTTGACTCTTTCTCAGAAAATATGTTTCATCTCAGGAGTGGTAGTATAAAGATATTAGTAAAGCATGCTACATGAGAGATAAATAATCCTTAAGAAGAACAAAAATAATAGCTAGCCATTTTACTATTCCAGAGAGGAAGTGATATAATGACATTAATGTATGCAAAATTTAGGGATGAATAGTTTTATGTAATGAATTTGTCATTTCAGGTTTGTGTGACAAAATTTTCAATGAGCCAATCAGATCTGAATGTTTCTAAATAATAATCACACTAATGTCAAATGTATTTAGCTGATTAGAACATGAAACTCTCTTTAAAATAATTTATAAATGTTTCACCATTTCATAGTCCAAATCTAGTAACAGAAATGCACTTAAATTTACTGCAGAAGTATATTCTAAAGATCTTTCTGAATATATAGCCTTGACTGCCTGCCAAATTTTTAAATCTTTATATTTATAAATGCAAGTATGTCTGTCAACCCCATTTAAATGAAGATGTCTATGTAGCACAATATCACTGAACAGCAATCTGTCCTGCATTAATTATGACTTTGGTTATTTGTATCTTTGTACTCTGTCAACTGTGGCATCAAGAATTTCCTTTGCAACTCATAGGAATTTAGTATTATTTGAGTCTAATGTAAATATCTTTATAAATCCCATGCAAAAGGAATCAGTTCCCATAGGCTGGTTTCTGTTGGAGTGAAGGGCAGTATTGGGTACAATTTGGCATCTGCTATGTAGAATTGTTCTATGTCCCCACTTCCATCCCAACAAGTCTACAGCTTTGTCTTCTCAATAACAAAAGGAAAAGAACTCAGAGGGTGGTCCACATCATAGTTTCTATGGGAGGCAAAGGCAATATATGAATGGCCACAATCATGGGAGAAATGGGTTGTTAGTGCAGTAGTACACCATTAGTCATGCCTTTGGTTTCTGTGTAGAGTAGATGGTGCTAGTGCCATCAGGTGTGATGGTCCAGTTTAAGGGGAGATGGTAGCAGTGAGACTGCAGTGCATTTTCTTTGCTATAGCTGTTTCCTTTCATTGAGTTTTCTTGGAGGCACAGCATGACTGTAGAGGTCTCAGCCAATTGTATTGCAGCAGTTGTCACCACTTCCACAGTGGTGAGATCCAACATTCAGGTACCTGTGATGAAAGGTCCAGCCAGAGAAGGCAACTCAATGACCAGCCCCAGTGGCAGATGTGAAGATTCCTTCCTGAGGCAGTACCTCCTAAGTAAATTTCAGTCCTTCACCAGTTAGTGCATATCATATTTCATCTGACAGAACCTACACATTACTTCCTCAAAAAAGCCTTACCTAGGACCAACAGGTGGCATAGTGGTTAAGGCATTAGATTCCCACATGGACAACCACAGTTTGAATCCCAGACTTGTCAGCTTGAAACTCATGCTGGGCATGTGTGTGTGTGTCCCCAAAATTCCAAGAGGAGAATGGAGAAGAAGGGATTGCTGTGTGGCCATACCTCCAGGGGGTGATTTCTTCCTGTCTCTCTTTCTCCCTGAGTGCACACACCCTATAACAAAAATATCTAAACAAAAAAAAAAAAAGAAAGAAAGAAAGCAAGAAAGAAAGAAAGCAAGAAAGAAAGAAAGCAAGAAAGAAAGAAAGCAAGAAAGAAAGAAAGCAAGAAAGAAAGAAAGCAAGAAAGAAAGAAAGCAAGAAAGAAAGAAAGGAAGAAAGAGAAAGAAAGAAAGAAAAGAAAAGAATAGCCTCCCCCATTCGCAAATGTTCATCTGTGGCAATCCACTATCCTCCTTCGATGTCCACGTCCCACTTGTACTTGTTTAGGGTCGGCTTCTCTTCCTAGTCTAACTGGTGGGAGAAGAGCTGCCTGCTTTGTCTTGTTCACTGCTGTATCCCCAGAGCCTCACATATAATAGGGGTTCAAAACCTGTTTTATGAATGAATAAAAAGGCCATCCTGGCTGGCAATCACATGTCCCTTGAGGAGACATAATCTCATATGTGATTAGAAAACAAAACCACCTTGAATAGAGTGTTCTGCAGGTCACAAATAGGGGCCAATCTCCATCTTTTAAGTATTAAGAGGTGTAAGAAGCCCTGAGAAAGGAATGAAACTAAGTCCATGGTCAGGGGACCTAACTCATCCTCTGCACAAAGTCACCTTTACCAGATGTTCCCTGGGCCCTTATTTAAGTAGGTTTTACATGGTAGCAGTTATACAAATTTTCCCCGAAATCTGTTCAAGAGAGTTCTTGTTCATGTTGAGAGAAAGGACTATAATCTTGCCTATTTCTTTTCTTCTAGAAGGAAACATCCTTCTCTCTACCTGTAGGTAGATAGGAGGAGGACGTCCTTATACGTAATCAGAGACGCTGCTTATCTCCTAATCCCCTTTACTGCTGTGGTTTTGCCCTGACCTTATAATTGTGACTCTGACTATGCTAAGTCCCTCAGAAGCCAATGCAGAGGGAAAGGAAACAGTTTTTGTTTGTTTCACCAAGAAACTTAGTCTTATAGAGGAGATAGACATGAAAGCAGATCATTTCAAGCCTAACTGATAAGTACTGTAATCTGAATATACAAAGAGGACTCTGGCAGCCAAGGAAGGTCACCCAATGTATTATCAGGGAAGGATTCTCAAGAAGTGCCATCTGGGCTGAGTCTACACAGTGAGTAGCAGGGGTTAGGAGGCCCAGGCAGAAGGCGAAGTCTGCATAGCAGTTGGCACAGAAACTTGGTAGAACAATTGAGAAGACAATGTCAGACGTGGCGGAAAGCAGAGGAGAGAGAGAGATAAAGAAAGCCAGACCTCAAGGGCCCTAGAGCTGTGGCATGAGGCTGGGCTGTACCCTTGGAGCATTAGAGCGCCCTGAGGATTTCAATGGGAGGAAGGACTGCACAAATTGTACACTTTAGGACCACAACTCCGGCTGTGCCTAGAAAACGGCATCGGAGGGCTGGAGTCTGAAGGTAGACACGTTTGCACACGGCTGCAAAATTGCAATAATCCCAGTGATGAATGAGGTTGGTCCGAATGCCAAGGCAGACGAAGTAGCAAGCTTTAAAGAGAAATAATAGTCTCAGGGAGCTGTTAAGGATGTGTTGATTGATGTGAGAGAGGGATGAGGCAGAGGGAAGATTCTTGTTTAGGCACCTGGGTGAATAGGAAATTTATGGTTCCGCAAAGGGAGGATCCAAATGGGCCCCACGAGGTGAGTCCAGGGTGAGGGAAGTGTGCTTTGGGAACACTCTGCACAAGGATGATGCCCACATAAAACATTCATCGTGCTGGGAAGGAGGCCTTCTGGCCTTGACGTCCACGGTGAGATTTAAGAGAGACACCCCCATGAGCACTTTGAGGAAATGCAGTGGACTTAGGACACCAAGCCCACCTAACTGACTGAACACCCCTCAAGGTCTCTCAAGCAGCTGCTTTCCAGTCCACCAAACTATACCCTGAAACCATCCACACTTTTTACCACCTCCTCTGCCCCACATGGTCCAGCCACCATACTCCACTGCAAAGACCATGCCAATAGCCTCTGTCTAGGCCTCCCTGGTGTTGGTCATGACAACTGCTGCAGAATTCTTATACAGCAGCAAAATTTTTAAATCTCTTAAAATATACAGCCGAACACATCAGTTCACTGCTCAAACCCTCCAATGACTTGGCCTTACTCTCAAATAAAATCCCAGCCCCTTCCCATGGCATGCAAGATCTGGTCCCCATCTTGCTCTGTATCAACAGTACACAGCTCTCATGGGACCAGCAGATGGTGTAATGGTTAGGTTACTGGACTCTCACATAGTTGACCGCGGTTCAAATCCCGCGGCTTAAAACTCATGATGGGAGTGTGTGCATGTGTGCCCAAAATCCAGAGAGGAGAATGGAGGAGAAGGGATTGTGCCATGGCCATCCCCCCAGGAAGTGATTTGTCACTTTCTGTCTCTCTGGCAAGCACACATGCCCTATAGCAAAAATCCCTCAAAACAAAAGACAC